AGACGAGGTCTCGCGAGTTGCCCGGGGGGTCGCGGACCGCGCGCTCAGGCCGTCCACTCACCTCGGCCGCCCAAAGCGCGGGATGACCGGCGCAGCCACCGAGCCCGGCCACCGCTGCTTTTTAAAATCCGAATCCGTGTCCCTGGGAAGCGGCAGCACGCGCCAGTGCCAAGGCAAAGATTAAGCCCAGCAGCCCCCTCAGCCTGGTGTTCAGGGCGCTCTGGGGCGGGCTGCCGACGCTCTGCCCTCTTAGCTTTAACTCACGTCGCGTTTCCTGAGTCCCTGCGTCTGCCTCTCTCTTCAGCTGTCGGGGTGCGTTTCTGGCTCGCCCAGAAACCTCTTGTCCAACTTGTATCCCCTAGGCCTGCCTTTCAGCCCCCTCAGGTGTGCCAGCCCCGTGGGGTGGGGAGTTCGCCAGAGCTGGGCCTCTTCTTTTCTCCTGTGTCACACATACCCCAGGAGGGAGCATCCAGCCCTTGGGTCTAGGTGGAAGCCCTTTGTCCTGTCATCTGGGTATCAGCTTTACAAAACCAAACCAAACCCTCCAACAAAACTCCAGAAGTAAGAAAATACAAAATGCATTGTAGAAAACATGCAAGAGTAAAAGGAAAACATGCCACTGTTGACTCACCGTCCGACAGGCACAGAGAAACTACTGTGTGCTTGGCTCTATGCCAGGGACTGGGGTCTGAGGTGTTTGAGGTTTGTTCCCAGTTCCCGTGGAGCTTGAGGCTTCAGCAGAGAGAGTGTGAAGAGGCCAAGGCAGGGTAGCATCACAGCTGGGGATGGATGGATGGTTTTGGTTTTCTGGGAATCTGACATCCTCAGCTCTGAGAGTACTTTGCTGCTGTTGCCACTGCCTCCTGTCTTTGAAACTGGGAGGATCTTGACTGGACTCATTTCCTGAGCTTGAACGTGAACTCAGGGCCGCTCTGTTGCTCAGATGGGAAGGAAAGCAGGAAACAATCTGCATTTTGTCTGCACAAGCAGCATTGTCCTGAGCACTTTACTCTGAATTTACACCACCGCACAGGAGCTGGATTTGGTAAAAGTGAGTGGTGGGAAGAGAGAACTGGGGTTGTTGAGTGACTGTGGCCATCGAGGAGAGGAGCTGCCCATTTCAGTCCATCTGGGCTCCGGTGGCTATAGAAATCTCAGGTGGACTCCGGTCACTTTCCTTATCAGAAGTGATCTGTCTGGAACCTGCCCTAAGAAACCTCCAGTTATTCAGCTTGCACCAAACAACTATTTTAATGAGGCAGAAGAGCTAAGAGTTTTAGCTTTGCAGCAAGTTACGCTTTTATGGAAGGATTTGAATCATAAAGGCATTTTTTATTTCAAACGCACCACAAAATCCATAATATCTGGCTATGAGACTTGAACATTCTGAACCTATTAGGCAGGTAATAACAACGTCTAACTCTCAGCTGAGACTAGGGGTTTGTAATCTTTTTTGTGCCATGGACCTGTCTGACAGTCTTTTGAAGCCGACAGACCCTTTCTCAGAATTAACATATTTTAATTCATAAAATACATGAGATGACAAAGGCTGGTCTTGAACCCCTGGGCTCAAGCGATCCTCCCACCTCAGCCTCCCAAAGTGCTGGGATTATAGGCGTGAGCCACTGTGCCCAGCCATACTTATTTTAGTGCATTGGTAATAATATGATACAGTGGCATGTCTAACAACTGCTATAATTTCTAAGTTGCAATGAACGTAAGTGATATTTTAAGATAACTGCAATAATCTTGATGTAAAAATATCTGTGAGGGCAAAGTCCCAGGAACTAGTAATACTATGGTGGTTTGTTGCTTACTGTCACAGAGAAGAGATGCTGTGTCTCAGGTACAGGTTAATAACAATAAAGATGGAATTTTTCTCCCCATTCAAGTTCAAAGACATTCACTTTGTGGACCCCAGGCTAAAAACCACCACACTGGAGTGACAATCTTTCTCATCTACACCCGCACTATCCATAGCTGGCCACTTGATATATTCTTATTACATTGTTATAATACATGGCACAGAACCACTTAAACAACAAAGCTGTGTTACCTGCGTGGCAGTATGCCTCCTTCCCAGCCTCTCCTCACTGTCATAGGCGTGGTGTGGTTGATGCGAACTTCGTGTCTAATTCGTGCATTTAGTTATATTTCATTGGAGAAAGCCTACACCCCTACAGGCTTTGTTTGAGGTCCTCTCTTTCAATACAAATACCTGGAACGGTTTCTTTTTTTTCCCTCCAACCTGCTCCACTCTGTCTTCCAGCAGTAAATTCCCAAATCCAGAATGTGGAACCTATGGTTAATGATGTGACAAGATATTTAGCCACTTGCACAGAGGAAATTTCAAAGTGAACTGCACAGTCGAAGAGACATTCCTGCCACAATTTGTAGAACCTAAGAATCCATTTTCTCCGTACGTGTAGTCCACAACTGCATGCTGAGTACTTCTTCATTGACCCTACTTCCTCCAGAGTCTTCTTTTTACCTCTAGTAGCTTCTGGCCTGGTAGCGGTGACTCACGAAGGATTCCAGGGTCTCTGACCAGAGGCATTGGATATGGGCTGCTTCGAACTGCAGAACGTGGCCCAGGGTGCCAGCTTCCATACTAAATCCTGTCAAAAGATACCCAAAAGTTACCTTTGACCCCTTTAAGGGATGAGGGGAGATAAAGAATTTGGAGGATGAGTGGAAGGAGAAATTAGACTTTTAAATTCCTTTTGTATAATACTATACCCACCTCATTTCGTCTTGTGTCAAGGTAGATCTTGAACTTGACCTGAAATACTTACTTGAAATATTGTCAGGCCTTGGAAATATTTATATGAAAGTAATTTATGCCAAAGGGCATGGGCTTTGGGACTGAGTCTTTTCTGAATTGGGTCCCTGAGCTTACTGGGGACAGCAGTTGGCGCCAAGTGACTCTTACTGGAAGGCCAGGGCTGTGTCTCTGCTTAAATCCCTTGGGAGCCGGGCTTCGTGGCTCAGCCTGTAATCCCAGCACTTTGGGAGGCTGAGGTGAGTGGATTGCCTGAGCCCATGGGTTCGAGACCCACCTGGGCTAAAACTCGGTGACACCTCATCTCTACAATAAATCAAAAATTAGCCGAGCGTGGTAGTGTGCGCCTGTAGTTTCAGCTACTTGGAAGGCTGAGGCGGAAGGATCGCCGGAGCCCAGCAGGTCGAGGATGCGGTGGCCGGGAGCATGCCACTGCACTCCAGTCTGGGCGACAGAGTGAGACTCTTGACCCCCCCCCAAAAAAAAAATTCCCCTAAATACAGTAAAATGTCTCCATGTAAAAGCTTTGACGGAGGAATGCTGGAACTAGATCTACCTTGAGTCTTTGACACCAAATATTTCAGTGCTTCATCTAAGTATAGTATCCTTTTAATTATCCCCACTAATGAGAGAGGGCAGTGGTGTGGATAATCCAAAAATCATTGTTTTGGTTTTAGAATATATGTCTTATGATGGACTTAATGAAATAAATGATACTCTAAATGCATTACCTTTTGAAGACCTGACTCATAAGAAAAAGTGTCTGGTTTGACTTTTCTGGCCTTTCTATTTATGATTTTTCTCTTTCATCCTGAAGATGGTTTCACTCTCATCTCTGACCCTCCATTCTCCAGTCCCCAACTGACAATATGTACCAGTTAGGACTAAGTTGGTTTTTTTCTCATAATATCACCCAAGTTTTATCATGCACATGGACAAAGTATGATTTTAGTTTTGCAGTCTTTAACAGACTTCTTATCAAAGGATAGCATAACAGTTAAAAGCAGAATTCTGGCTGGGCGTGCTGGCTCACACCTTTAATCCCAGCATTTTAGGAGGCCAAGATGGGAAGATTACTTGGGCCCAGGAGTTCAAGACCAGTCTGAACAACATAGTGAGATCTTCCTGCTACAAAAAGTAAAAATTAGCTGAGCATGGTGGCAAGCACCTGTAGTCCTGGCTACTTGAGAGCATGAGGTGGGGGGATCACCTGAGTCCAGGAAGGTCAAGGAGGCTGTAGTGAGTCATGATGGTGCCACTGTACTCCAGCCCGGGTGGCAGAGTGAGACTTCCACTGAGGGGGAAGGGAAAAGCAACTTCCTAGAAGCACATAGTCTGGATTGGATTTGTTTTTTGTTTGTTTGTTTTGAGTCGGAGTCTCACTCTGGCGCCCAGACTGGAGTGCAGTGGCCGCTCCCGGCCACCGCAGCCTCGACCTGCTGGGCTCCGGCGATCCTTCCGCCTCAGCCTTCCGAGTAGCCGGAATTACAGGCGTGCGCTACCACGCCTGGCTGATTTTTTGATTTATTGTAGAGATGAGGTCTCGCTGCCCAGGCGGGTCTCGAACCTGCGGGCTCAGGCAATTTACTCACCTCAGCCTCCCAAAGGCATGGGATTACAGGCTGAGCCACCGAGCCGGCTTGGATTGGATTTGAATCCCAGCTCTGCCACATATTAACTGTTCAGCCTTGGGTAAGTTACTTAGCTTCTCTGTGTTTGAATCTCCTCATCAGCACATTGAGAATACTAGTCATATCTATCTCTTAGGGTTGTCTTGAAAATTTATATTTATAAAGCACTTGGAACACTGCCTGGCATATAGTAGGTGTATATAAATGTTTGCTGCTGTTACTGTTTTTATAAAATAAGAAGAAATGTGGTATGCTCCATTAATTTGTTCGTTAACTATTTCTCAGGCACTTACAGGTATACAAAGCCTTCTAACCTGAATGCCATAAATAAGACTTTAGAAAGAGATGATGTCAAGGGAGGTAGAGGGGAGGCGGAAGGGGCAGACACAGTCTGGTTCATCGAGGTGTGTCTGTCTTTAATTTTTCAAGTTCTGCGCGCCTCCGTGCCCAGGAACGTGTCCGTGGCGGAAGGAAAGGAGCTCGACCTGCCCTGCAACATCACCACAGACCGAACCGATGACGTCCGGCCCGAGGTGACGTGGTCCTTCGGCAGGACGCCCGACAGCACCCTGCCCGACTCGCGCACGTTGGTGCGGCTGGACCGTGACTCCCTGGTGCACAGCTCCCCGCACGTGGCGTTGAGTCACACGGACACACGCTCCTACCACTTACTGGTTCGAGACGTTGGCAAAGAAAACTCCGGCTACTATGTCTGCCACGTGTCGCTCTGGGCACCTGGACACAACGGGAGCTGGCACAAAGTGGCAGAGGCCGTGTCCGCCCCTGCCAGTGTGACTGTGACCTGGCTAGGTGAGTGACTTGGAGAATGGCTTGGGCCTCTCCAGCTTAATCCCTCCCCAGGGTTGTCAGGGCACTCTGTCTCGCGTTATTCTGATGTTTTAAAATATCGGTTAGAGCGTGTGCTGGCCCGGGCGGATCCTAGGCTGGGGGTGAAAGCAGAACTGGCTGAAATTGAATCTGGCAGGCAGGGGAAATGTTGAGATAACGCGGCCTTGGTTGTCTCAATACCCTCATTGGAGGGGATATGGTTTCCTTTTGTAGTCGAGATTTGCCGGGTCGGGCGCTGCTGAATGGCTCTTTGAAATGAATCTTTGTTGGCAGGAGAATGCTGCCATTCTCCCTTTCTTCCTCCTAGGCTCCTAGGTGCTCCCTGGCAGGAGCTGGTGCTTTTCCAAAGCCTGATGCAGAAAGAGAATTCCTTCAGTGAATGGGAACCATTTTTGTTCACCTCATACTGTATCCCTAAATAATGTTATTTGCAGGGCCTGGTTGCTGTAGGGACCTTCCTGCTTCCCCAGGCTCTTTCTGTGCACTCTGTCACCCAGCTGTGACTCCCTACAGAGGAGCAGAGTGGCCCTCGGAGGTTGACCACCTTGCCACACAGTTTATGACAACTTGCCATATATGTGGAGGTCGTTGGCATGCCCTCGTGTTTTGTCCCAAGCTCATCTCCTGTCTCCTCCTTTTTTTCCTAAATGTTTGCCCCTTTGGGCAAAATTGACACCAACGTTTCCAAATTTTTGTTATGGCTGGTGATTGTAAGTAACCGCAGGAGGAATGGGGTCAAGTGAGTGTTAGAAATTCTTTGCTTCCCGCCTCCTTCATTGCCGAGATGGCATGGGCTTGCTGGTCAGAGGCCTCCTTGTTTGGAGCTTGGTGTCTCTACTGTCGCACGAGTACTGTGAGCCCCGATGAAGGCATTTGTCATCACTCTGGTTCTCAAGAAGCAAAACAGATCTTTAAAGGCCAGGACGTCGTTGCCTGCTTTGTCTGATTCCTCCTCCATGACCCCCAACTCAGACTTTTCCTTCCTCGTTCCTGCATGGAAATCTCCTCTTGGGCTAGCCGCTTATCCAGTCATCTTTTCTCCCTAAAAAGCAAAGATGGGGGGTTGGCCAGTGGGGGCTGAGGGGGCAGGGAGGAGAGTAAGCATAGAGGACAGTTTAGTTCCCATTGCGACAAGGCAGGCTGTTTGTCATTCTTGTTAGCAGAGGGATCCTTTGATACCCAAAAAGTAGAAGGTGCGAGGTTTATCTGGCGAGCTTTTATTCTCACCGTCTGAACCCCGTGCAAGAGACTCACTATGAAATACTGAGCTGGAACAATGTTGGCCCAGCCAGAACTCTCCTTAGCAACCTTCAAAACAAAACAGACGTTGTCAGCACCAGAAGATTTTTCATCTCTGGAGCTGAATTTGTCTCACAGCTCTGATCCTCCGTGCATCGTGTGGTGCTGTCAAATCCCAGCACTGACTCTCTGTGCCCCCTTCCCCTCCCCTCCCCGTCCTCTCCCCCCTCCCCCTTCTGGATCCCAACTCAAGGATTTTTTTGTGTGTGTTGAAAGTGCTGCCTGCACTCCAGTTTGAGGGCTTCTTTGAAGTACTCGTGCATTGATCCCGGCGTGCCCACAGGGAGATGTGGGGACGGTCAGACAACAGGAGGGGTGCTCTGGGAAGAATGGGCTCCTTTCACTGGAAGGGTTTGTTGGTAGCTATGTTCTCCAGAGAATGAAAAGGAATAAAAACACTAGATTGTGGAGAGGGCTCAGTTATTCTCCTGAGGGTCCTGCCGTTTGCTTTCCAGGGGAGTGCTGGCACCGTTGCCGTGAAAGTCGCCCATGTGCTTTTCCTCGACTGAGCTAACAGGTGTAGAACGCCCCTCTTCCCCCATGCTCTGCACATACTAGGCCCTCAGTCAATATCAGCGGAATGGGTCAATAACTAAACCTGTGCCAACACATGGATTCTGTTGACATATGTGCCTAGTAACACCAGAATTGCAAAGAAAGCAATTATGTTCAACTCCTGGAACATTCAGAGATACTGGCCCCCAAGTAAACCTACTGAGAGTGTGAGTGGTATAAAAAACAACCGCATTCCTCTTTTCTCTTGCCCTTAAATCTTCTCCTCCTTCCCTGTACCTATGACTCACACCCTCACAGCTGCTTGGACACTTGTCAGGAGGTGGAGAGGACACGAGTGCAGCAGCAGACCTTTCTTCAAGACTTTCCCGCTGGATTCTCTGTCCAGAAACTGATGATCCTGCCCTGATTCTAAGTGGTTGTCTCTAGGTGTGCAACGCGTGTACATGTGTGTGAATCCCACACCACACCCAACGTGGGGCCGTTGTAGAGTGGCCCAAAACCCAGAAAGACAGATGGCCTGCCAAGTACTCTGTGTATGTAGGTCATCCTAGGTTGTGTGACTGTGGGATGGTGTCACAGAAGAGTTCTTGAGAAAGCTGGTTCCCCACACAGGTAGGACATCAATCTCCTTTTTGCTGCTTGACAGATTTGTAGTAATTACCATTTATTGAGCATCTACTGAGTGCCAGGCACTGGGCTAAGGGCTTTATCTGCACTAAATATTTAGTCATATGTGGACACGTTTTTGGCCTTAGGGGTCAACCTCACTCCTGACACTAGAGAGCTTGTAGTCCTAATAGCTGGGTAGTTCTTGTCCTGGTTTGCGTGGGGTTGGTGTTCTGAGCTAGGTGAGTGAGCCGAAGCTGACTGCGTGTCTTCTCGAGTTCCATTGTGTCAACCAGGAAGACATCAGAGCGATGACACGAATGGGTCTGGCAAGTTCACGAGCACATGTAGCAGTCGAGAGGGTCACAATGGGTTTTTAGAGTGTGAGAAAATGCCTCTTTTACTTAGCATGGATGCCCTACTTTGAAGGGGTGAAAAGGAATATTTAAGCTGGTTTGCAAAATGAACCACCATTTAAGGCAGGAGACATAAAAATAAAATCAAGATCAAAAGGGTGAAATAAAAAGAATAGCTATTGCAGGGTGGTGGGGCTGAATTAATTATTGCATTTGAACACTGAATTTGCCTCTGAAGTTTTAAAGCACTGAGACAAAAAGAAAATAGATGCAATTGTATAGTTCTCCTTGGAGGAAGGAAAACATAAGCTCTTTCAGAGAGACAAACTTTTTCTTGGCACTGAATTTATGATGTGCTTTTTCATTTCAGGGGCATTAGATAACATAATGGACAGTGACTTTGACTGTTCTTCCACAAAAGGCCCTAAATGATTGTTTAAATGGATGTTTCTTATATCCACTCTCTGTAAAAGCTAGAGGCATAAATCCCAACTGGGTGGGTGAAGGCGTTTCTGTAAGAAAGCTGATTACTATGGGGGACAAGCGTTGCTTTGTGTTGATCCAATTTAGTGTATGTCTGAAACTTCGAGAACCTAGCAGAATGGTGAGTTAATCTGCACATTAAACCATCTCCCTCTGCTATCAGATGTCTTGAAAGAGCCTTTGGCAAGAGTCAGATACTAATCAGTTCACGGTTGAGCTCTCTGCCCCAAGTACCAGACTTCTGCAGTGTTAATTGGAAAGGGTTCCACGGGCTTCGGGAACAAGAGCGAGAGGAGGCAGAGTTGAGTTCTGCTGTTGAGTCTTAAGAACCTGATTTGCATTCTTCCCCACTAGAGGACTGTCCTCTCTTCCAGCAGTGTGCCAGCAAGGAAGGTAATTATTTTTCTTTAAAAAGAGCCGTTAATCTTCTGAGTACTCGGTAGAAACTTCAGAGTTCTGGGCCATCTGTAGGAGATAAGGGTTAGCCCTGTACGTTTTTGAAGGGTAACTGTCATCAACTGTCTGTCCAGGATTATCCTGGGAGGCAAAAGAGCTTGGCTAAGTGCTGGAGTCAGGGATACCTGTGGGGAGCCCTCGCCCTCCACCCGCTTCTAGGCATGTCATCTTGGGTGTGTCGCTTGACGTTTCTGAGTAAGCTTTGGTTTTCTTGGCTTAATACGTATGACAGCACACAGCCTGGCACTCAGCACAGTGCCTGGCACTTAAGTGTTCAGTGTTTTCTTGGTGGGGGTAATGGGGGTTTGTGTTAGTGTGTGAGAATCTTTTCCACCAAGTGCTTAGCCAGTGAAGGCACGAGAGTGTGTCTTAGGATATGGGGGAAAGCCCAGTGTGGAGGAACTTGGAATGTGCATTCTGAAAGCAGCTACTCCCAGGAAGAGCTAGTGAAAGGGGCTGAACTGACCACACCTAGCCCTTTGCTGCCCCACCCCCACCCCAGCACCCAAATCTGGTCATTCACTCTTCTCTTCCTGGGAGGAGTGCGTGACGATGAAGAACTTCGTAAGTGTTCTTTTGGGGTGGGGCCATAGGTGTCTCATTCAAATTATATTATTATTATTATTATTATTTTTTGAGTTGGAGTCTCACTCTGTTGCCCAGACTGGAGTGCAGTGGCCGCTCCCGGCTACCGCAGCCTCGCCCCGCTGTGCTCCTGCGATCCTTCCGCCTCCGCCTTCCAAGTAGCTGGAACTACAGGCACGCACTACAACACCCGGCTAATTTTTTGATTTATTGTAGAGATGAGGTCTCGCCAAGTTGCCCAGGCGGGTCTTGAACCCACGGGCTCAGGCCATCCACTCACCTCGGCCTCCCAAGGCGCGGGATGACAGGCTGAGCCACCGAGCCTGGCTCAAATGATATTATTTCTATTTCTCTGATACGGCTCATGATGAATGTATCCTCATAATAATGGTTCTGTTCCGGAGCCAAGTGCCCCGCCCCCAATAGTCACTTCCTGTTGGTAGCCTTCTCTGTTTAAATGTTGGCAGATAATTAATTGTGACACAAATGATGACCCTGGCAACTCATTGACAGTTGATTAATATGCTCAGTTGCCTCTGAAGTACTCGCCCGATTCAGGACAATAAAACAGCGTCAACAGCAGGAGGAGGACACTCCGTCTGGGCACTCCTTCTCCTGCTTCCTCTAACTGGTACACAAAGCCCTTCCTCTTTTTTGTTT